GCTCGGTTGGCATTTGCCAACTTGAGACATCTGTGGCGCCGTCGCGACATCCGGCTGTCTGTGAAGGGTCGAGTGTATGCTGCGACAGTTCGGCCAATACTGCTATATGGAGCAAAAACTTGGCTATTAAGAAAACAAGATAAAGATAGACTGTCGGTGTTTGAACTCCGCCGCGTAAGCAGCATTGCACGAATCTGGTGGGGTAACCGAATGAGCAATGTTGAGGTTAGGGGCAGAGTTTTGGGTATCCGCGGTCGCCTACTGGAGTACGTGGTCGACCTCCATAGATTACTTTGGTTGGTACATGTGTTACGCATGTCCACAGATACGTTACCACGGCGAGTGATGCTCGCCTAAGAAGATACAGAGTGGAAAAAAGCCAAGGGTGGTCAAGCTAAGACCTGGCACTAGGGTACGAAAACCCTAACCAAGAGACTGGGTCACACAGGTCCTGTTAGGCTCCCTGACTGTGGACCTCGGGATGATCGTAACCGATGGTTAGAGACACTGAGCGATATGGCTGGGTGTCGTAAACAGTGGAGTTCGTGCATCTCCTCAATTTCTTCCCAACCTTAGACCACTGAACTTCTCCATTTTTTGTTCGACTTCACTTTCGAATTTCCTTTCTTCTCCTATTCTTCATCCCAATGGGCAGCCAAAAGACAGCAACCAAAACCGGCGCACGAAATTGCATGGTTATTGGTTGTTCAAACTGAAAACTGAACTGAAACTTATCGAAAGCTACGGGATTCGATCACCCCCAGGTGAAGAAAATCTTTCTTGATAGAAATTAAAACTTTATTCCTTCAGTGTTTGTTCTTTAAAATGATAAAAACATCGCACACTAAGTCTCTTTGGGAGTCCGCTGGAAAAAGAATTGAGGTAAATACCGATCGTTCCTTTGGGATATAGCCGAAACCTGTAAGAATGTATTCGACTTGACAGTGGTGAGTCACTTAGACTGAGCGTTCGAAAAACTCGTTTGAGCATAAAATACTATGTATTCAGTGCATTTTAAACCTGTTTTGGAAGTACACTGACATTTCATCCCAAATCGACCGTCAAAACTGAAACTAGGTTTAGTCGGCTTTATAACAGGAAAACTGTGGCGGGCCCCCGGTGGAAGAAAACACAGACAACGCTTGTCCGAAATCCATGTAACCGATCATTTTTTTTCTATTGTTATGTGTGATATTTCTGGAGTCAGATGATGGACCGATGAAAACCGAACTAAGACCCATTGTTGTGGAATGAAAAACCTTGGGAAATGGGCTTGTAAACACAGCTCACATTAGGCTACCCGGTCGGGAAACTCTTGACCTGTTTGGCCGAGAAGCAATGAAGGAGACATTGAGCAACTTGATTGTTTGTTATAAATATTGTTGCCTGCGCATCCGATCAATTTCTGTACAACTTTAGTTGAACCACACTCTGATCGCGGTCGTCTTATTTCCTCTACTTCTTCATCTCAATGGGCAGTTGGAGGATAATCAATATGCAAAATGAATGGTCGAAGGAACCAAAGGGAACCAGAAATCACTCAGTGAATTGTAGAAACCGAATAACGGTTAGGTTAACTCGAATTGGGAAAACACTAGGAAAATGATGTGACATTAATGTGTACAAAGGGATGATCTCTTCACAATAAGGTACTACATATCAGCAGGGAAGAAAAACGATAGTGTGAACCGACAAGAGAATGACATTTACGAAACTGTGTATCAATCAAAGTTGCATTGAAAACGCAATAACCATGTACATGTTTTGAGATATCACGCAAAACGCAAGCAGAAAAATCAATGACGTAACCCCAGGACTGTAGCGCGCTACAAAGAAAATGAGCTCATCGATGGTGGTTTAGACAGGTTTGATGAATCAAACTGGGCATAGGACAAAGTGAATAATGATCCGTTATAAACAATTGCGTGCGCGAGTACAGTAGAAGAATGGAATGTTTCACCCAGGCCAGACTTACGTTTACAGATGCGATTGCTCGAGGCTTTGCAAGGTGCGAATTCGAATTCCTCGGAAATGCACAATGGACGACAAGCTGAAATTAAGTCGAATAATAAACCGGGAGGTAATGTTTAGTTCAAACTTTGACATCTTCTGACGATAGCTATGCAGGCACAAGTAAACATTCTGTAATATATCAATTCTCCCGATTATCCCAGTGTCCGTTTTATAGTGAAAATGAAAAACCAGGTTCGTGCCATAGGATGTTTTAGGACCGGAATCCCCGAGTACAGTAAACAATATATTGTAAGAACGTTCCAAGCTATGTAAGTGCGATATATGAATGATTGACAAAGTGCTTCATCGAACGGAAACAAAGGAATTTCAGTATATTTATTCTCGTGAACCGGGTACATGATGGGAAAACCAATTATCCAACTTAAATAAACTACCATTTGTGCAAGACACTATCGACTTCATTTATTCGGCCACCTGTTAATTACCACTTCCAAGAATTTGATCAATGCATGTGTCCTGTTTGATGCATACTACTAAACGTGGGCATTCAGATCTCAAGCGTTGTTCAATCACGGGGGCATTCAGAAACCACTCTAAGAATCAGATGTATAAATTTAATTTGAATGAAGCAGTTACAAAACAATGCATTATTGGTACAAGTCTGCGAACGCNCCCCCCCCCCTTTGGGTGACGACGACGAACACAGTCTTTGAGTCGTCCTCCGACCTCACTCATTATGATTCCCAACTGTTTATAAACCACTGTGCCGGAATTTGGCATCCCTTACATAGTTTCAAAGTATGAAATACTGTTTGTCACATGTCTTTCTTTTGTCCATTCCATAATGGTGCATTGACGAAGGTGACTAAATTCAAAAATTCGATTAACGTCCTCGGTGCGGGAGGTCAGGCATGACAGCCGTGAAGCCAAACGGTGGGAATCCGGACACCTTGGACGTTTGACCCCTTCCGACGAACTGGACACCGGCTCCTAATGGATTGCGGTTTTCACACCAACTAGATGCCTTGCCGGTCAGGCTTTGGCTAGCCGAAGGCTGCGGTTGTGAATTCCCCAAGAAAATTCACCGGCCTTGGCCTGGACAACCTGGCCCACAGGCAAATCGTGGAACATTTTTCTTTCAATAAAGATTATTGTATCACGATTTGTTTGGCACACAGCTTGGCCTCAGATGAGTGTGAAATATAATAATAATTTTAAGGAAACATTAGATGTCATACCACCGTCCCAGCTATTGTAGGTTCACCATAGCTGCTCCAGCTTTCGATATTCATGATGTCACCTCTACCTATGACCAATGTCCCGAGATACGCAAAGCTTTCCAACTGATCACCACAGACAATGAATACAGCCACGGGTCTCCACCAGTATTTTACGGGCACTGTACAGCAAACACATCAAAGCACGTCGGGCTGCTTGCACATTATTACCATAAAAGACGATGTAATCGGATTAACTTGAGCAAATAACTTTTTGTTCCCTGGGGGAAGTTGAATTACACAATTTCTTGGACCGAGCAAGGCACCAAACATGTGAATTAATCTCGATTACGTTATCATTCTTACCCTACCCTAGAAATTCTATCGGGGTTCTATTAGCACCGACTTCGGGCAAACTAAGATTTGAAGTAAAAAGTACGATCCCGTCCAGACTCTGACTCGGATAGAACACCGAGATTAAAATACCCGTGATCGAATGCAATTACCAAATACGCAAGTTGCTACCTCCGAAATCCTCATTATGGTCGGGGGTGGGTGTCTGGGGTTGCGGCTGGTCACCCGTCCGTTACACCCCGCAAAATGCTCCTATACGACCAGGCGTTTCAAATAGCCTCTGCTGAGAAAGTTGTACTCACTGTCTTCTCGTTGCGGAGGTGTTTTTGCACGAAAGTGAGAGGACGAAAAGCCGGTATCCGGGGCTATAACCCGGTTGGTGAACCAATGGCAGTTTACTTAGAGAAGTTAGCTAAAAACCCTGATTCCAGACCAACTAAGAGGATGTGTACGAACCACACACACACCTTTCCGATTGTGATCATCGACTCAATTGGGCATCGAGGTGTGTTGGGCCCCTTGGATATTTGACCCTATCCGACGGGCGTATGGTTGGATGGTGAACTAGACATCGGCTTCCAATGGACTGCGGTGTTCACACCGTCCCGCTGCCTTGCGGGTCAGGCTTTGCTTAGCCAAAGGCTCCCGTTGTGGATTCTCAAAGAAAATTCACCTGCCTCGACCTGGGCAACCTGGCAGTATTCAGCCCACATGCAAATCATGAAACGTTTTTATTTTTTATAATGATTATTGTACCATGATTTGTCTGGCACACAGTCTGGTCTCAGACAGATATGATA